ATATAAGTATATGCCAGAGTCTTTCAGTGCAGAATAGTAACAGACAGAGAAATGAAAGCAGAGATACACTGAATGTAACACTGTTTGTTTTGGCTGTTGATTAATTTTGCTGTCAATTCCTCACTGTACTCTCTCTCTCTCGCTCTCTCTCTCTCTCTCCTTTCTCTATTTTTGGTAACCATGACCAATCACCCCCACGCTACTAGAGAACTGAACCACAAACCCGAGCTAGGGCAAAACAGTCTTTGTCTTTGTCGTTGTTTTTACAGCTAATTCATAAAAGAAATGCATCGAACACATTCACAAACATGGAATCTGGGACTGGAACCCGTAACCCTTCCGTTCCAAGGCCCATCCCTGGGTCCTCAGGTGTGTGTCAGGTGTACCGAGGAAACAGAACTCCGCTGGCCATTTGCCAAACTTTGCACATGATTTGTTGAAGATGAAGCTTTTTTGGAACTCGGAGCTGATTGTGACAAGGCTCTGTACCAGAACTGGGTTTTGATTGGTGAGATAAAAAGGCTCGGTGACAACGGCAGGGCTGGTTTGTTTAGTTGATCAAGTTCTGTGGAAAGCAGGGGAGGAGAAGGAAGAAAGGAGGGAGGGAAGGGGGGGGCGTGACCATGCCCAGGTGGAATTCCCCTGAACTCACCTGAGCCCGCCCACACTCCAGAGTGATGATATAAAGGAAGAGTCATTGTTATTACCGCAGCAGACGCTCTCTCTCTCTCTCTGTCTCTCATTGTGGATTTTTCTCTGACCGTCATCCTCACTGCTCCGTCCCTCGGCTCAGGTAACTACATACTGTTACGTGGATGTGCATGTGTGATGAACTGTGATGTGTTACTGTAGAGATGAGGTCATGTGACCCAACATTTCTGTCGGGGGGGAATCTGCTGTTCAGAGCGGCAGGAATCATCTCCTCTCTCGTCTGTGTCTGCGTTAGTGTCCCGATGTCGTCCACCTGTCTGAGCAGCGTCCTGACGCATGCCAACCTGACCATGTACCACACGGGCATCGCTGACGTTCAGCAGCAGCAGCAGCAGCAGCAGCAGCAGCAGCAGCTCAACGCGCTGTCCGGCAGCAACGCTGCCCACGTCTTCGGTCCGGCCTACAGCTGCGGCATCAACAGTAAGGACATCTGATTTCACCTGTGTTGACCTCAGCCGAGTGTGTGTTGTTGTGATAGCGTGTGGGTCCAGTTTCGCTATCGGTTTCTGCTGAAACCAGACCTGGGTAAACACAATCCTTCATCTTCAGACATCAGGACCCGGAGGTCACTGACCTCTGCGTGGCATTTAGATGCTGTTGGTAGAATCGTTAACCAGTCAGTTAATGTTCAACTGCTCGTATCAGTCGCCAGGTCGTTAAAACAGTCTGGGGCTTTGTTGAAGAAACAGGTCCAGAGCCAGTGGTGGTGGTCCCAAGTTGTTGACCTGCCGACTAGTTGTGGGCATTAGCCCCGTTCACTGGTTAAGTGGTCGGCACACACTGATACACCCGTCTTTCTCAGCAGCAGGGCAGTGGTACAAACAGACCAGCCCCCACTCCTGGACAGCTGAGAATGTTCTGGAATGGATCAGCGACCATGTGGAGAGCACCAAGTTCGACGCCAGCACTTTGAGCCTGAACAGCTGCACCATGGACGGCTCGGCCCTTTGCCAAATGAGCCAGGAGCAGATGATTGGCATCTTTGGCCCCCAGCTTGGACCGCACCTTCTCCACAACCTGCAGGAACACAAGACCAAATATGGTAAGCTGGTGGTGGTGATGATGATTTGCATCGTTTTCAGAGCTGGCGCTGACCTGCGTCTGAGATGTTTGTTTATTTAACGATGAATAATTGCGTAACTAAAGAGACTGGTGTCTGTCTGCAGAGCTGCAGAGCCTGTCGGGACCAGAACTGAATGAAACCTGTCAGCTCCTGGACAGCTTCTTACACAACCTGAACTTCCAGAACTTCCAAACCTTCCCTCTGCTCAGCACCGTTAGAATCGGCATCGGTGCGTATATATAAAAAAAAGCTCTGGATTTGTATGATGGTTGACGTTCTAGACTAATGCTAGCTGTGTTCCCCCGCCAACAGATGAAGAACCTGTCCTCAAAAGGGAGGTTGTCTACAGCGAGGATCTGAGCACTTTCACTGTGGGGCCCGTGACTCCGCTCCAAGAAGATTATCTGTCCGATAATCAGTCCGACAGTGAATACAGCTCCTCCTCCAACAGTCAGTATTATTTTGCACTCCACCTGTCCTGCCTCTGTGACCTACTAAAAAAAAGAAGTGCATGGCAGAAACCTGTTTCTCCTCTGCGCAGGTCTGTTGTGCAGCTTCTCAGGCCACAGCTCGCCGGAGTCTGCCAGCGGAGAGTCGGACCCAGAGTTCTCCTACCCTCTGATTTCGAGTGAGTAAACAGGGGAGAGATAAGGAACCCTGCGATTGTCATAGGGCATTCCACATTCTTAGCAGCGCTAATGAGTTCAAGTAAACACCCGAAAAACACTGCTGTGTCCACAGAAGCTAACATCAAGTCCGAGAAGGGAGAAACTCGCCTGAAGCGACCCAGGGGACGGCCTCCGAAAGTCAACAAAGGGCAGAGCAGCGGCAGCGTTTACGAATGTCCGAAGAAAAACAAACACGGTGAGGGAAAGGCGCCTCGCGCGCGGACACGCTTTATGTAAAAACGCGCCACAAACAGCTGTCTGTTTTTTCGCACAGTGTCAGCTATTCAGCGACTTTTTTTTTTTGCATTCTGATTTGCATCTTCATCTGCTGCACACGCAGACACATTTGAATCGCATGTTTGTTTTTCTACATGCGCCTCGGCACGGAGACCACGTCAACTCACGCCGCTCTGCTTGTCTTTCGCTAGTTCCCCGAGGCACCCACCTATGGGAGTTCATCAGGGACATTCTCGTCCACCCCGAGAAGAACCAGGGACTCATGAAGTGGGAGGACCGGCGCGAGGGGGTCTTCAAGTTCCTCAAGTCCGAGGCCGTGGCTCAGATGTGGGGCCAGAAGAAGAAGAACAACAGCATGACCTACGAGAAGCTCAGTCGTGCCATGAGGTGAGTCGACGCAGGGTGTGAGTTAATACGTGTAGCGGCTTAGCATTCAGCTGACCGAAGCACCAGGAAACTTAACACCCCCTCTTCCCCCCACCCCAAAAAAAAAGGTACACTGTGACTGACTGACCTTGTGTCCCGGCAGGTACTACTACAAGAGGGAGATCCTGGAGCGAGTGGACGGCAGGAGGCTTGTCTACAAGTTTGGAAGGAATTCCAGTGGTTGGAAGGTTGAGGAGCTCGGGGTGAACATTTAGAGAGTGGGTCAGATGAGGAGTTTACCCTCGTCCATGTGGACCGTCTGAAAATACACTCTCTCTGCCACCTCTCGTGTTTATGACACTTACTTCCTTCACGAAGGAAGGTGTTGCAAAAAACTGTAAGCCACCATTTTGGCTCTAGTAGGTTTTATGAACCAATATAAATGTTGTAATGTTGATGTGAATGTTGATGTTTTTATTTTGTATGTGTTTTTTTGTTTTTTCATCGCAGACATTTTTAGTTGTAGGATTAAAAATGCAGTACGTTGCTTGTATCCACATGGAAAGGCTGCAAAATTGTACAAAATGGGCCTTTTTTTGCTGCCTCAGATCTTATGAATTATTGTTATTATTATTATTATGAATGTTCATTTCAGGAGCACTACGGCCATGAAAGCAGCAATTTACATATATATGTCATAGATTTTAAAGAAATATGTTTCCATGCTTGATGTAAAATTCAAATGAAGGATGGAGTAAAAACAGGTAAAGAGCCGAATGTAGAAATGTAGGCGATGTCGCGTCGCAGGTAAAGACCAACGGCGTGCCCTACATGTCGTGTATGGGTATCACTTATTATAAAGTGCGTTCTTACAACGTTTGAGTGAATAAAAAGATAACTCTTGTAATTTTTATACCGTCACCGCGTGTTGTTTGGACCAATCACAGACCAGCTGTGTTACGTTTATGTTTTTGGCAAATCATTGTTGTCTTCTCTGGACTGACAGTTGTACTTGTATGTGGATTTAATCTGCACTTGTGGTTTGAGCTGTTCAATAATTGCTGTATAATAAATTCAATGTTGACGCGCATTCATTTCCTGCGTAAAGATGTCTTGGCTGCCAGCTACAAGTTGGACTTTTCTACCTTTAACTTTAGGGAAAACGACGTCACACGTGACATAAGCATTATGTCATCGGCAAAAAGAGAAACACACATCAGACCACCGTCCTGTCTGCTTCTCTCAGCTTAATCAGTGACATCACTCTCACCTGTGTCTCTGTCGTTAGTCTCACTCGTGTCACCTGGTGCCCTGGGCATATACACCTCTCTGCCCTTGTCAGGTTGTTGTTGTAGCTGTTGATGCCGCTTTTGTTCTTGACCATGCTGTAAGTAATTACAAAATAAATTGATCCATATGCTGTATAGAAAATATAACAAAAGTGTTTTTTATACTTAATATTTTTTTATACTTTTATATTATATTTTTTATATTTTATATAGTGATATGATCTGCTGAGGACCAGCTATGTCTCTTGTGTGTAAATAGTTTAAAGTACCTCTTGTCTACAGTATCAGCTCAATGTAAAACATGTACCTGTGTGCATGTCACCACAGCTAACATTAGCTACAACGCACACCAGAGCTAACTTTACAGCTACAACAGCCTTAGCATGCACACAAGTGCTAATTAGTTAGCTACAACAGTCAGGGAACAGAGACCAGAGCTAATGTTAGCTCTAGCAGTCCAGGAGCAGACACAAGAGCTAATGTTAGCTACAACAGTCCTGGTACAGACACAAGCGCTATTGTTACCTACAACAGTCCTGGTACAGACACAAGAGCTAATGTTAGCTCCAACAGTCAGGGAACTGAGACAAGAGCTAATGTTAGCTACAGCAGTCTGGGAACTGAGACAAGAGCTAATGTTAGCTCCAGCAGTCCTGGTACAGACACAAGAGCTAATGTTAGCTCCAACAGTCCTGATGCATACAAATGAAAAGGTACATTTTTTGTTTTTCAACTTAACCAGGAGTCAATTGATTCACTCATTAACCAAATTAGAATTAATAATGTGATTTATTTTGATTGATTAGGAATTGATTATAATGCTTTGTTGGTTTCACCACCTGACCCTAAAACAAGACTTTGTTTGTGACAAATAAACACTGTCGTGCACTGGGCCCGACGCTGAGACCATGTTGTCAAGTCGTCACAATTGAAATGATTCCAAAGGTGCGACCCCTGACCCGGTCCCTGTTCTGTGACAACAATAAAATAAAGCCGTAGAATGTGGAGACAACGGGTGTGAACGGGGTCTTTGACAGATCCCCGTCTGAATGAAAAGTGTGGCGACACTGAACCTGTGAGACTAGTTCACTTGAATGCTTTCACAGAGGGGCCTGTGAACCAGCACTGGCATCAGAACCTGGTCTATTTTTTTTGGACAACGTAATTGCATAGGTAAATGAAGGCAGTCTTTTGTTGAGTGAGCGTTCTGCGGGTGCACCAGGTGCGTTGTCTGCCGATGACACCGTCACAAAGTAACTTAAAGAAGCTCTTTGTGTTGTCACTGAAGGAAACACCCCATCAATCGTTCATTGTTTCATTTCACATCAACGGCGAACGTGAAAGTTGTCATCCAGAATTCTTCACTTGGCCCTGGCAGCGGCTGTTTTCTGGCTGTAGCTGTAGGTACAACAGGTCCGGCCTGTTGGAGATGGTGGGAAGTGATAGTGCGAGAGATGTAAAGCAAGAGCCTGTTTTGGTGCCAGTGTCTGTTGCCAAATGT